GGCAGCAGTAACAGCAGCAGCAGCAGTAACAGCAGCAGTGAGGGAGACAGCGCCACACGGTGTCAGGATGTCCATATTTTCTTACTGACGTACACGACGTTATGGACCAACAGAGGGTTGGTGTCATGATCTCGACGCCTTTACGTGAGAACAAAGACACAGCGTGGACACAAACTACAGGCCGTACAGAAACATTTCCTGCAGGACACAGACACAGACACACGCACACACACACGCACGCCTGCAGGACACAAACACAGACACGCACACACACACGCACACAGACAATTATTTTCTCCTGTGTATATCACTGGAACATAAACAGAAATAACAGCAGGTGAATGAATGTGTTTCACACCTGTTTTGTTTGTACTAGTACACCTGTACTAATCCAAAACATAGAATTATTAATATAGAAGAATGTCAAGAAAATTATGTAAAAGTATAATATGAAAAATATGTAGCCTGGGTTGAGGCGCCCGACCTGAAGTTGAACTCTGGGCTGGAAGAGATGGCGTTTCAAACTCCAACGGTTGTGTTTAAACAATAACGTTTATATGGACTGTATATTAGACCAATGATAAGTGAAAGAACAGTGGAATTGTGGGATATACAGTACACTCGTGGACCTACCGCTCTCCAGGAATCGAGTGGCTTTGTCCTGGATCTGCTGGGTCAGCTGACCGGTGCTTTTAAGGTAGTTCAGGATGAAGATGTTGGGGGCAAACAGAACCATGTTCTGCTCCCCACAGCCGTACGGCATGGCCAGCAGCTTGTCCAGGTTCTTCATGGCCCGGCCCATAAGATCACCTGAAGCACGGTGATACAATTGGATATTGATGAAGATGAACGCCATTTTTAATCACACAATTCATGTTGTACAAATATATACACATAAGTATTTCATGTTTTTTTTTCCAACAGTTTCAAGTGAAATCAAATATATAATACGTTTGAATCGACTGGTGCAAAATAATATTTTCAATTATTCAATGATTGCATTGTGATTCTTACTATAGTTTTTTCTTTGTTGTGACAAACACATCCTGTGGTTAAAAAGTCACATTGAAAAAATAAGGCTGTTCTCCAGTACTGTGTCCAGACCAGATATGAGTAGACACTGAAGAATCAATTTATCCACAGTTTTTTTTTTTTTCACTCTAACTCCAGGTGTCACTGACCCAGTACGGAGACTGAGGCTCTGGCCGATCCAGCCACGAACACCTCAGGTAACTGGAGGGAGATGTGTTTCTCTGCTGGTCCCTCTGAAACAACACAAGAACAAAACTGTCTACTATATTTTTTTAATGCTTACAGAAACAAAAAACAAAAAAAATTAGGAGCAGTCAGTGGGACCTTATCAGTACTGAACATCTTTGAGCAATTTGACCTCTGACCCTAACTTTGACTTTGCTCTAGCCCTGACAGGATATACATCTGAAACCCATCAATCATACGGTGTAAATGAACAGTTCAAAGCTGCTCACCTGCAGACGTTGAGATAACTGTCAACGGACTAACTGTCACTGATAAGTAGGTTGGCGGTGAAAACTCACCTTGGGGGCAGAGGAGAGCGTTGTGACTGACCATCACTGGCGTTCCTTCAGCCTTGTGGAGACAAAGAAACAGAGAGGTGCCTTATTAAAGGATGATGGAAAGTGACAGACGAATGACTCTGAAATGACGATAATCACTGAGAGAATTCCAAAGTTATTTACCAAACAATGTCTATAAGATATTTTTAACCCTGCTGGTCAGCAGCGGTACTGTATCCAGAAATGTATAACATTGTTCATCACATCTTACACAAACAAATAAACCCTTTTATTTACAACCATAGTATAAACATTGATATATTAAATTCAGAGGTTGATTTTTTTTTGTTAGCATGTCATGTTTCTTGTTGAGTAAAGTTCCCAAACTTTAGTCAGAGACAAACACAGAGGGCTGATACTTTCTTTTTCTCCAGTGGCTGCTGGTCTCTCATTACCACTTGGTGGTAGTGGAGACCTGTGAGCTCGTGGACAGACAGACGGGAACAGTAGGTGGAGCTATAACAAGCTGGAGCATGTTGATGGATGGATACCGACTTTTCAATTACAAGGACCTTGTACAGATTTTGCAATAATTTGTAAACTGGAGAAATACAGAACATGTGTTTGGTGCTGTGTGTCTTTTCAGAGAACTGCTTGAAAAGGCTAACAGCTCATTCCTTATAGAACTAATAGGAACTAACAAACTACTTTAGCTAATGATGTCTGTCACACACAAACCTCCACCAGCAGGGGGCGGACCACTGTGTCGATTTGGCCCACTTCTGGGACAGTGACCACCTCGTTGCCACACAGTTCATTAGTCTTCATGGCCTCGGCACTGACCTTCACTTTCACCTCACCTGTGTGCACAGACAAACAGACTTTTTACACAGAGCAGGGGCGTATCGATCGGCGCTGCCGTGCACTGTCACAAACTCCCATTTTGCATGCGGAGGCAAAAATCTCTCCCCATCTGCTGCTCAACCCAACTCATTATCCACCCTCTTCCTCCATCCCTCCTCGCTGTGTTTTACTTCCTCCCCCTGCTTCCTATCATATTTGCCCTCATTAATCCCCATTTGTTGCCTTATTATACCGCCTCTAGCCCATGCAGCTCCATCTCCCACATACTCCCCTCTTCCCCTCGCAGCCCACAATCCTTCACACGGAGGACAAGTACAGATCACCCCCCGAGGGAGAGGTTTCTGAGTGTTTCGTCAGAGATACTACCTGACTTGTTAGTACAAGTGATTGTCAGCATTCCTCTAAGGGGGAGTTAGACGAGTGCAATTTGGCATTCACAGCATCTCATCTCCATCCTGGCTGATGGAGGCTGATGGAGAGCCTCTGCTTTCACACCAGGCTGTGCTGTACCAAGACAGCAGCCTGTCTTTGCTTCCAGCAGCGCAAACGCAACAGCTGTCAGCGCCTTTAATAGAGATTAATTAGCCCGCGCCGCCTCGTCTCCATCGCAGAAGGTATTAGAGTTAGCATCGGATCAAACAAACACTTTTTCAACCTGGAGGACTGACATCAACACTGTAAAAATTCCACTGCGACGACAAGGAGAGCAGAGCTGTCACCTCTTTCAGATGTTGGACCGAACACTCGGTCTGACGGAACAGAACACCAACGGAGGCTGTGCATGTTTACAGTACAGCCCTGCTGAAACGGCTTCTGGACGAGGGTTTTTTTCACCCACTGAAAAAATGTACTCTACACCAGAATCTGTGAAAATATTATTAAATGATTTTTTAAAAATATATATTTTTATTTGTTTTTCTTTTCATCAACCATTACTTGATGAATATGAAAATTAATATATTTATCAGTTTATATAATATTTTATTTGACAGAACATTTTTTCCCCATCCTTCAGCTCTCTCATTTGCATATTTTGATCAAAATTAATCTATGCTCAGGTATTGGCTAAGTATTGGTATTCAGTATTTATTCTACATGTAAACTGAATCTTACATCACCAATTAGACAAGCATTTACAATTGCGATAAAATATGTATCATTTTAATTATTCTTCATCAGAGCAGTCATTCTTATTTTGTTCTTTTTATTTAAGTACCTGAGTTTCCTCAGATAATATAAATTATTGTTTTTTTAATTTCCTCCTTTTTAAAAATTAATTTTAGTTTTGTGGGCACAGTACCACTTTAACCCTACTTTTCAAAAATACAACTTTAATCTTTATTCTTTAACCGAACTGGTTTTATAAAAAAAAAATTTTAATTAATACAACTTTTATCTTTATTTTTTAACCGAACTGGTTTTATAAAAAAAAAAAAAAAATCAGGTAATTGGCTCAATGTGTGTATTCAATGAATAAAGTATTTTCTGTTTTACTTTTGTTCTTACTTTTTGGAAGGAGTTTGACATTTTAAAATTTAACTAATTAACTTTTAAAGTCAAGCTGTGTAATTCTGTATATTAATAACTGTCGTTTTTATTCATTTTTATTCTGCTTGATTAAAAAAAAGAAAGAAAAGCTTTTACTACCCAAATCAGATTCTGCTTGATTAAAAAAAAAAAGAAAAGCTTTTACTACCCAAATCAGTTGGAGTAACAATCCAGGAGAAGGTTTTGCTCTCCTGATCGCACAGACACACGGTGTACTGGCAGCCGTCGCAGTTCCTGGAGGTGAACTGGCTGGAATCAGCCAGTCTTACATTAACCTGCACAGAGTCACAGGAAACACAACAACACACTCAGACTGACGAAGAAAAGTGAATTCCTGCAGCTGAAAGTAGATCATGGGTTACCATGATGCATTGAGAGAGGTAGTTGAAGACGGTGGCTTTGAGCGTGAAGACTTCCCCTCTGATGACGGAGTAGGGTAAAGTCAGACTGACGAAGAAAGGCTGGAAGGCAGTCAGTCCAGTGTTGGGTGAAATGCCCAGGCCAACAGAGGAGACACAGAAAGCCCCAGCTGCCCACTTTGTGATGGTGTCAGGGACCGTCTTCTCCACGTTCACGGCCCCACTGTCACTGTGCGAAAAACAACAAAGAAGAACGACATTTAACATCGGTCTCTTAAAATGTCTCACTTCATTTCATGAGTGTGTGTGTATGTATGTACATATATAGGAAAATAATCCTTGAATATACTGAATGAAAGTGTGAATATATTGAAAAAGGGACCAGACTTCGTTCGTCTGCAGACTGATATTGGGTGCGTGTCCTCTGGGGATTTTGGCACAAGCATTCGCCAGTGTATTTACCATCTATTCATTACTTAAAATAGCTGCTAATAAATTGTGATCCGACTGACTCATTTTGATGGTGGCAGCCTGGAAGGCGTCAATTTTCATTCAATATATTCGTTTTTAATTTCCTGAAATATATATATATACATATACTGTATATATGTACTGCTTACACTGAGTCTTTTTAAATGTACTTCTAAATACAGAAATATTGTATTTTTTTCATTTTTACCCCACAGGTATGAGGTCCCAGATCCAGGTCTCAGGGAAGAATGTTCTGACAGTTTCTTTCTTCTTCCTTATGGGTATCACTGCATTCATCACATTAGTTTCTGGCATCATGTCGTAGGCCATAGCTATAGGACCGTCTGAGTCCTCATCTAAAAATAAAATAAATATAAAATATATATTTAACAAATATATATTAAATAGAAAATAGAGTTATATTTGATTAATTTGTGGCCATGACAATATAGGCAATAACCATCAATTTAGTTCCTATGAGTGGTTAAAGTTTGATTCTAGAGATTACAGCAATTTAAGCTTCTGTCTGCCATTCTCTCTACTTGTCACCGGTCAAATCCAGTTAGACTTAACAGGTTAAAAACATTTCAAATGACTTACAGTATATACATGCTGCAGCTCATAAATAATAAGTAAACATCGTCTAAAAGTTCCCTGGACAATGAGCTAAGCTAAGCTAACTGCAGTGAGGTGTAGCAATAGTAATTGAACGAAGCATGACGGGGCCATTAGCATACATGCTAACGTGTGACTATGAGCAATAAATCTGTGATTCTAAGTTCCAACGAGAGTAAAATGAAAACATTTCCAAACATCCCTGCATCCACATATAGATCATGGCACTCGATAGGTTTTTTCACATCAGAGTTCGTCACAATTTTGACTCCAACTTTCTAAAAGGAGAGAGCAAGACAAAGAAATCAATAAAACACAATCAAAAATCACAGCACTGTAGAGAAAATATGTTAACAGAAATAGAGAATACAGACAGTACGGTGGATTCAATGCACAGATGAATGTGGACAACAGACTGACACTATATATAAATATAGATAGATGGACAGAGAGATATAGATATAGATATATATATAGAGAGAGAGAGAGAGAGAGAGAGTGTGTGTGTGTGTGTGTGTGTATGCCCCCACATAGAAAGAGGATAATTAGGGCCAGGTAAGGGTTATTGTAACGTTTAAGATATGACACACATCTCTAATGATATACAGTAGGTTAGGGCAGACCAGGGCAAACTAAGGCTCGGGGCCAGATGCGGCCAGTTCAGCTTTTTAATCTGGCCCACCAAACTTTTCCAAATTATATAATTTGTTTATATTATTATACTTCAGCCTTTACGCTGCAATACCCACATTTCCCTAATGGATGGCGTACAAAACGATAAAAGCATTTTAGCATTTAAGCCTTTATCCAGGCCTGGGTGAGGGTAAAGGGTTGGCGAACTCATGAAAACCTGGCTCTGTGTGTGGATGTGCTGATGCCACCTTCAGTCTCAAAAAGTGAAATAATTAACTGATGAAGAGACGATGCACAGAAAAACAACCTCTCACCGAGACACTGAGACACATGTTAGAAGAAAATCCCAACCTCAAACACGCTGTAAACGTCGTCCTTCTCGTTCGGCTGTTCAAAATAGACTGAGCGAGTTGCTCGGCGAGGAGCCATCTGGACTGGAAAGCTGAAGCAGGGGGCTGGCTCATAGTCTTCAGTGTCATGTTGGTATCCCGTCACCCTCTGTACAGGCAGCAAACTGTACACCTGCACAACAAAACTGGGTTAATTGTTAGGATAATTGGGAACGACGAGGCACCAGGGCAAATAAGGGCAAATTAATTTTCAATGCACGTTGAATGGAGCCTGTTAAAAAATATTGAAGGTTTGTATTTATATACTGAGTAACTTCATTTCAGTCCTCAGACAGGGCTGGGACCTGATGTAAAACACATCCCCCAGAATTCCACCAAGAAGGAACCTATCTGATGGGCCAACAAAAGTGTTTAGACCTAAATGAAAAGTATGTCTGATGGGCCAACTGTTTGAAAAGTGTTTAGACCTAAATGAAAAGTAGATTTTTTAACTTCGTCTTAAAACTCTCTCGTTCAATGCAATAAATATAATAAAAATTGGTTGAAACAATTCCAACCTTAGCCAGTATGTGACCAAATTAAAACTTCTCCCAGTTATGTCTATGAAGATTCTCAGTCATCCAGGTCATGGTCAAGAGGCTTCTTCAGTGACTAAACAGTTGTTCCACTTCCCCAGTCACTGAAGTAGCCTCTTGGATGAGAGGTAAAATGTCGTCTTTGAGAAGATTTCCTGTCCACTTGCCTAACGGAACTCTCTAACGGAGTTTACACTGTGTTTGAGGATAATCTTCAGACATTTTTATGCCAAACATCATATCAACTTATGGGCAGGGAGGTAGGCTGTCGTACATGTTGGACCGAGAGCTCCTGCTCAGCCTTCAACAGGAGGACGCTCTGGTCGATGGCCCTCACGGAACACATGGAGCCGGGCTGCGCCTGGAGACTGAGTGTGGTCTTCTCTGCCGGAAGACTTTGGGCAGAAGAGAACTTCAAAGACACCTGCAAAGCAACACAGGGAAGGAGGAGTCATTCATTTGGTTACATAAATACTCTTCTGCTAGGTGGCAGCAGATGGTTATAAAAACTAAAAAAAAAGACAATCAGAACTGTTGAAAAAAATCTTTGTGTCTTTCTTCAATTCCTGCTAGTATATCAGCGTTGTTTTTAACTAAACAGGCATTAAATTATGATAATATGTATGTGCAGTGTTTCAGTACCTGTTATCTGTGCATTTCATCTGTTATGCACTTCACATCATTGACACCACTGATTTAAATGGCCTCATTTGTTTTTATTTCTATTTACCTTGTTGTTAAGACACAGTCCAACAGGGTAATCCTGACTGTCAGCCACAGCCTCTCCACTGGGCATCACAGTATAAACTACCACCTGGGCAAACGGAGCCAGCTTCGTCACCTCCTTCAGTTGTATGGTGAACTCCCCTTTGTTGGCTTGAAACATCACAACACACAGAAAAACAAACCAAGAAGCACAAAATCACACTGAATTAACAAGATTTTCATTTCCATAAAAAAACTAATGTCTAATATCTACTCCGGCTCTGTTTGATTTCTATCTCACTGGTTTATTAAGTTATTGTTGATGAGAATTTGTCCTTTAAGGATAAAGTTGTTTGAATCTACTCCTGTTAACCTTTAGATGTGAATTTCCCAAAAGTATGTATGTAAAACATTATGACAAGTAACTTAATTGAAGTAACATTATTACCACTTCCCACAGCCACTGGGAGACGTCCATGCTGCACGGTTTGACCTTTGGACATGACCTACAAGAAGAACAAGGAGACAGAAATATCTTAAATTGCTCTCAACACAAATAGGTGGACAGTGAATTCTTTATTATCTGCAGTTTAAATACTGCAGTACTTCTTGTTGGTCACATTGCATTTTTTGCAAGTGCAACAGGAGCATTTAGTTTTCGCAAGAGTAGGCGTTAAGTAAGATGCAGGATGAGCCAAATTATAAAAAAAAAAAAACCTATTCACAGACCAGAAAAGACTCTACAGCAATGACCGATGAAGTACAACTCCCAATACCAAGTGGTAGAAGTGACGGACCAGTCCAGGTGGAGGATAAAAGACAGAGAAAAGGACACGACACTAGATACATACCAGGTAAAAGAAGTCCAGGACTTCCTGCCCGGCCTTAAGCTCCTCCCCCTTGATGATGTACTGAACATGCAGGGTTGCATCTTGGCCACAAGAAAGCTCCTCTTTGATCTGCACGAGTTTCACAAAGCTGCTGCTCTTGGAGTAAAATGGAAGGATGTAAGTCAAAGCGTGCCTGTACTCTGGGCTGTGTTCAGATTGATTTTCCACTTGGTAGGTAAACGCGGCCTGTAGCAGTAGGAGAGACAATCAGAAGGTACAGTCCATGACTAGGTCAACATCAGTAACTGAGATACAATATAGACAACAGGGAAGTCGTGGTTATGATGTGACTGTCATTTAACACATTTGCCACAAAATGTCACCAACCTTTAGCTGAATGTGCCCATTCCAAAGAGAGGTGTTCAACGAAAATGAAGCGAAGCCCTTTGCGTCTGTGATAAGCTTGTCTTTCGATTGGGGGGACGAAAGTTCCACCTCCTCCTTAGCAACAGGTTGACCGTCTAGACCGACAACTTTGATCTGAAAACAAAGCCACGTACCGGCCTTAAAAACCGCACACATCTCCGGGGACCGGAGGAAAAACAAATCTGATGTGCAGGAAAATACCTTTCCTTCGAAGGGAATGCCAGGTTTGTATGTAGCAACTAAGTCCTCGAAGCTAGCAGTTCGGAGTATATGGGTAACGCTGGTGGTTGCACTGCCTTTCAGTGTGACCCCTGCAGGAAACAAAGAGAAATAGGAGATGGTTGATGGTTCCTGGGAACAAATGCAGTCACTGGCGTGTGGCCGTCCACCGACCTGTACCATCCTCTGATAAACAAATGCAGTGACTGGTGTGCGTCCACCGACCTGTACCATCCTCTGATATTTCAGCACTGACTTCAAAGTTGTTTGAAAAGCGATTTGAAAGAGAAAATTCAGAGAAGTGTAGAAGGTGTGAGGCACAGCCATCTTTTTCCAGCTAGAACATATACAGACAGAAATGTGACTTGCAAAGGCAATGAGAAAACACAGTAAACCTCGAGGTTTTCTTTCCCTTTCATTACAAATACTCACATCAAAAATATAGGTTTTGCAGGCATAAAATTGTGCTCTGTAAAAATACCATGGCAAAGGTAGTTTGCAAAATTCACTCTTGACTGAACCAAGAACTGGCTTCCCATAGGTGTATCTGCAAAATACATTTAAAAAAAAGGGATTTTGGTAAGAACAAAGTTAAAATAACAATAGTACGAACTATGACTATAAACGACTGTAAAAGAAAATCAGACTAATTAAAAAATGGGAAACACACACACACACACACATATATATATATATATATATAGAGAGAGAGAGAGAGAGAGAGAGAGAATTATCCATTAGTGTTCTTATTGAAAGATTTGACTGTTCTTAACTGTGATATTTTTGAGGTTATGGAAACTTTTTCCCCCTCCAGTTTTTAGCATTTCATTAGCTAAATTTATTACGTTAACTTCATCGGTAGAAACAATGGTCATCATTATTCAATCTATTCCAAACAATAAATCAGAAATCTACTCAAATCTAATCAATTCTAATTGAATCTAATCCTAACCCAACTCCACTGTTATTACTCTTCCCGTTGTCTTGCCATAACCTCAACCTGCCGTGGATACACACTTACTTTGCACAAATTTTGACCGTTGCCTCTGGCTCCAGGATGCTGACAACGTTTGGCAGATATACTTTAACCTCATACTTTGGCAAAACTAAAGCAAAGAAGGAAAAAGCAGAAAATTCAAACGTGACAAACTCCCTTGTAGAAACTGAGATCATTGGTCTTGTGAGAGAGGAAACGTAGAAGACCGTATTCTTTGATCTCAAAGGTGTGAGTTATCTCCTCTCCTCGGTCCGTGGTGGCGGTGATCCTGTACTGCCCCTCTGCAGCCTCTGGAATCATGGGATGGGAGAGATCCAGGATGCCGCTACCGATTGGTTTGTCCAGCCACTGGGCGATTCGATTGTCAGCGGGGTCCTAAAAATAGTCGTGACGTGAAAAGCCTTTGGGTTAACATTAGGAAATACAAGAAAATAATATCAACTACTACAACCCAGGAGGTAGGCGAGCAACCACACAGTTGTGGATAAAAATCTAAAAAAGCATAAAAAAAAGCAGATGTTGGAGAAGTCCTTACCTGAATCTCCACCATTTTGTACTGAAATAAGAAAGAAGGAAACAGATTTGTGAAAAGCAGCAAAATCAATGGAATACAATGTAAAACATTTCTATTACCACATCTGAAACAAAACAAAGAGAACGAGAGGGAAAGAGCGATTGTTAACAAAGCTGCTGCCAGTAGCACAGGTTCCACGGTTCATTTACAAATGACGTAGAGCATTGTTTCCCAAAGACTCTTTTTTTTTTTTAGGTCGTCTTGCATCATGTTCCCCAGGAGTTTTACGAATAATGTCTTTTGACTTGGGTCGCTAAGGTTTGTGACTTTTAAAATATGGGTCCTCAGAAAAAAAAGTTTGGGAAACACTGACGTCGAGATGGTTTCCTTGTTTTCATGAACACATTTAGTGGCCAGTGAGACGAGAAGGCCGAAGTACCACCAGGGGACACATGCCATAGTTTGAGAACCACCTAATTAGAATACCTCTGAGGTTGAGAATATCACCGTACAGTGGACTCCCTACAAATGATAAAATGGTTATGAACCTAAAGCCCATATTGTTTCAGATGTTTGGGTCAGTGGGGTGTGGGCCAGATGAACTCAGACAGCATGTTTATTCACACTCACGCTGTCCTCAAAAGTCAACAAACAGACGGACTTTTCACCTCTTCGTCTCCTGAACCAAAGTAGACCTCACTCCACATTCGCTCACGGTTTATTTCACCGAGTAAATCGGCGAGCTTTACGGCAGCGTTACTCACACAGCGTCACGGGATTTAGGAGAGAAAACACTTACCACTCGATCGACTGGGATGAAACCAATGTCCATGGAAACGATTCGGAACTGAACTGGAGAAAAGCAGAAGAATTATTCTATAGAATTACGTACAGTTAGAACTGGTCTATATTTTAAGCCGGGGACCCAATACTAAACACAATTAATGGTTCTGAAAAACATGTTTTCGATCCAACCCCATCACACATTTTAGCCACTAGGGCACCAGTCAGTGTCACTGCTCATCTGTTTTACACTGAGTTTCCACTGATTATTTTCATGTTGACTTTGTCCTGGAATTTTGACCCTTCAATTTGATTCAAACCTGTGTCACGAGTTTCAGGCATGCGAGCGTTTACCTACTGTACAGCAGGTCAACGAACCGGTGCAGATAGGGCGGATAATACTATTTTATCAGAAACATCTAAACGACTTCAAACGTGACACAACAAAAGAACATTTTCTGTGTTTTTTTTTTTTTTTTTCTTCAGGGAACTATGGAATAAGCCTCGGCAGTAACTCTTGAGGAAAAAACTCTTCTGTGGAGTTAAAACATACAATTTCCAAAGTTGCGAAGCTGTGGCTCAGCAGTATGCAGATTTTAGAGAGAAAACCAAAAATCTGCAAGTACTGCAGAATTGGTAAGCAGCACAGAGGCACGGTATTACCAATTCTACCACCCAGCAAATTTAAATACTTTGTATTTTATTCTTGTTAGATGTGAACAGTATTAAAAATGGAATACTATAGATCGTACAAGGAAATGGGTGTCCATTACTGGTTTAAGTATCTCGCTGCAATTTACCTGTGGGACAAATAAGGATCGTAAGGCAAGAGTGCTAAGCACATACGGAATCAGTTTTTTTTTTCTTTTAAACTGACAAAATGTTAAGTTTAAAAAAAGGTGTTCTGTCCATCATGTACCTACCAGTCTGTCCAGGCTTATAGATGGGTTTATCAGTCTGGACGATGTGAATAAAATCTGGAGGCAAGATGACAATTTTGCTCTTCTTGTTCATGGACTCAGTCGCACCCTGAACTGTGACGTTGACGCTCGCCACGGTTCTGCTGCTCACAACAGGGACCTGCGGTATCAGAGCAGACATCTCTCAGACCGAACCATACGATTTCAGAATGTAGGAGGTGTGGGGGGGGGGAGTCGGGGGGGGTGACGTGACACATCATCTTACACAGTACGTACTGCAGGAAAGACATGGATTTAAAGACATCTGTGGGCAGTAACAGTTAAAAAAAAACAAACTCGGCAGCTGAGCTGCAGCTTGTGATGCATTTACCAGTAAATGTGGTCGATTATTTATTTTTGTAAAGCATATGTTTTACTTACTAATGGCACTGCTGTTGCATAAGAGTGACTGGAAACATTTCAATGGGTCAGTTATGTGTGTGTGTTTGTGTTTGTGTGTGTGTGTGTGCGCCACTTAGAGACTTGGCAGAATATAGTGTTGGGGGAAGAGGAGCTGTGGGGTGTGTGCAGGAGCGTGGAATGCAGGTACACAGCTGACCTCAGTAAAACAGCCTGTGCTTGTAGATATGAAAAAATTCCAGACACGGCCTGTGACACGGCCAATTTGACCGAACAAATGGAACTGAGCGGCAGGAGCCGATTGGCCAAATGTTTCGCATCAACATGCAGCGTGGTCCGTGAGTTACGTAACAGGGAGCAGTGGTGTGAGAAAAAGCAGAGCAGTAATTTGCAGGGAACCATTAGCGTTGACAGCCACAGTCACGGCGCCAGCTGGATAATTGGAGCTACATAATGACCCCAGGATTTGTGCTGATTGGAGGGATTGGGGGGAGGAGAGGGGAGGAGGAGAGAAAAGAACACTGTGCCTGAAAACCCCACGGACACGTTTACCCACGATAAACATTATTATTCCTCTTCTGCTTTATCCTGCTTTAGTGCCAATTGGAACCATTTGTGGATGTGTGTGTGTGTGTGTGTGTGTGTGTGTGTGTGTGAGTGTGTGTGAACTGTACTGCAGCTGTAAGGCTGATGATGCACTGATGCCCAGCAGTTAAACCTCTGGTCCATTCAATCACAGGGTTGAAGTAGTCATACAAAGACAGTAGTCTGCTAAAAAGTTGCTCAACAATGTCAGATATAAAATTGGTAAAAATATATATATATTAACCAGAGCAGTAACAAGTAAAAAAAAACAAAAAAAAACAAAGGTTTTTTTCAACATGTTGAGGAGAGACATTAACCTGGTTTTAAGTTTTGCAACAATAACCAATAGGGCAATATTGGCCTGGGGAAAAAAATCCAAATTGCCCCTTTAAGAAAAATAGTGTAGAAATAAATAATTTAAACAAGTATTAGAGTTTAGAACTTTTATAAATATTAGCTTATAGTGTTTTTTTTTTGTTTTACATATAGAAGTTGTAATTAAAAAGTAGTAAGAGCGTTCTTTGGCGTTCCCTGGAATAGTGTAACGTCATATTTGACCATGTGACTGCAATCTGTGTGTAAAGTGTGGAGTCCAACCTGGAAGTTGACGCAGCGATAGAAGTCCTCTTTGACCGACTCCTCCAGGATCACTGTGCTGCTGGAGGACATTTCCAGGGAGACCAACAGTTTGACGGGCTCGGTCGGTCCATGGACTTGGGCACAGAGGTTCTCCTGTTGGCCCGCGGTGACCCTGGAGGTCACCGTCACTGCAAAAATTCTGCATTTGGAACAAGTGGAGTCAAAGTGTGAATCTTCAAAAACAGCAATAAGAACATTTTTGGACTTGGACTTGAAATAATAATAATGTTGCCTGATGTCTGTTAACATATAAGATGACACATTTATTTAACGTCTTTTTTAGAAAATAAAATCAACTGTTCCTTTAAGACAGTCTGCCATCTTGTTCCATGTTCCATAAACACAATAAGCCTAATGAAAATTCTCTTTCAATACCAAGTCTCAACATGTGAAAACAATGAGAATTTGTGCGATTTTCAATAACAAGTCTCAATGTGTGAAAACAATGAGAATTTGTGCGATTTCTCAATGTGATGTTAATAATCTGGAACTTTTTTTTTCTTCTTAGTCTTATGGGAGTGGTGTCAGTTGCTGAAGTTGTGATTCAGTGGAACATATTTGCGAGTAAGTGATTGTGGGTCTGTGTGCTTTTAGCTCAAAGCTGAGAACCTCCAGCTCTGAAACAGACAAATGGTATCTGGCTGCCTGGTAATCTCACAGGGGCCTGCTGCTGCCAAAAAGAGAGGAGCAGATCATTCATCACTAAGTGATTTTGCCTGCGAACCAATTGCACCCAAAGGAACCGGCGTACTGCAGAGACTTCATCATGAAGATAACTGGTCCTGTCAGTACCAGAAACATCCTGAAGTGGTAAGAAAACCCACAGACACACAGGGATTCTCAACAGGATATTAAACTGATATTCATTCTGGCAGTCTATACCTGGCCTAGAAAGATGTTTGACGTTCTACCTCCAGGCTCCTAAATGAACAATTTGTAAGTGTAAGACTGTTTTATACAGTCGTACACTTGCCCCTGCTCCTCATATTTGCTCTTCCTCCTGTTAAAATATCTGTTAAATCAACTGTAACTGACACAAACTTTTACTCATTTCACCACAACTTCAACCACAGGTCAAACTTTTTTGCTTTTTTGCTCACAGGCCACAATGGGTTCTAAAATTTGGCGGGGGGGGGGGGGGGGGGGGGGGTGGGTGGGGACGGGGAAAGGGGGGGTGAAAAATCCACAGGGTGGGGGCAGGAGTGTTGGTGTGAACTGAGATAAGTGACGTGTAAAATCCATATATAAATGCTTTTAGCCTTTACTACCCCTTGTGGAGGAGTGATAACTGATATTGATTATTCTTCAAAAATTGCAACAGTTTCTCTGCATTTGGTTGGACTTAAAGAAAATATACAACATAACATAATAACATAACCTTTAAGTCGCATCACTGACCGCTGTTACGTCTATTTCCAACTTGATAATCTTCAAGAGTTTTATTGTGTAACCGCCAACTTAAACTAATCAGGAGTCATTTTATCAAGGCTTCAGTACTGTATATTATACTACAAAAATTTTATATAATCATTTATTGTAGTTTTTCCTGTCATTCCCCTCAGTTAAAGAAGACAACGACACTATGTTGTTTTGCTGTTTAACAACACCCTAAAGTTTAAGAAGCAAAAAAGAAGACAAATCTTCGCTTTGATAGGTTGGTGTCTGTGGAAACACCTGATTGGATGTTTGACACATTCATGTTTTCATTAGGAGAACTCATTAGCACCTTCATTATTACAAATGTATGTCTAATGCTAACCCTTACTTTAACTTCAATCCCACCGTAAATCTAATCCTAAAGCCATATTCAGATTTGAACCTCAAAATAGCCTCTCACTCTGAGGACAACAGTATTACAAATTAAGATTTGAGCCTCTCACTCTGAGGACAACAGTATTTTCCAGAAATGTCCTCACAACAAGTCCTGCAAGGTACGTACGTACGTACACACACACACACACCCACCTACCTAACTCAGTATTACGTAACACCACAGTGACGCTAACCGCTGTTCCACTGACACACAGTCACCAAATACCCCATCTTTACCAAAAGTCACATCTTAATCACTTGCAAAATCAAACAAACGTGAACGTGCATGTGATGACGCACATTGCTGAAAGTTTTGCAGCAACAACAGAAGAAGCAACAGCTGCGTAGGAAAAAGTTTTGGCTTCACTCACGTGTGGTTGAAGTTGAGCGGCGCCGCGGTGTGAAGCAGCGCCGTCAGCAGGATGACTGAACGGAGCTGCAGGACAGGTGTCATGTCTGCTGAGCAGCAACACGGGTCTGCCCGGGAGGAGAAGGAGGAGATGGACGCACTTCCTGCCGGATACTTCGCCAGAGAGAGAGAGAGGGGGAGAGAGAGAGAGAGAAAGAGTGAGGGAGACGAGCAGGGCAGAAGGGTCCAGAGTAAGGAGGCGGTGGTTTGCTGTTTATAATCCCCAACCCAATTCCGCCTCCACCATCTGAGGAGTCACTCCCCCATTTTGGCCGGACACACTCCTACCTGTCTCCAAAGAATCCCAATATTTACCAAAGCTGTAAAGACAGATCTGCTCTGTGTTTTTCCACTTAAATTTAACTTTTAACGAGTTGTTTTTAGTTTTACTTCCAGTTCTGCAGAATATGGGGGCTGGAGGAGTTCTGGTAAGGGGCTGGCATGAAGACGCCGCAGTTGAGCAACAAGAGACCTGACTGAAGCATCAGCAGTTCCAAAGCTGAAGACCCAGATAAGGCCCAGGTCAAGGGTCTTGGTGTCGTCAGAAAGCTGTATGCTCACTGTTGTTTGTTTTCCTTGTATGTCAATTTTCTGGGTCATCGGAGGAGATTTTAAACACTGGGTCGCTGGTGGACTTTACCCCGAAGGCTGTCAACTGCTTTTCACGAGAGCAAAGCAGCAAATGGACGTCAGTGCACACGAGGGCGTACAGTATGGACGTCTCCACAGCTGCTGATACAGAGATACCACGATCCAGTCAACCAAATCAACCAAGCAAACCCGACTGTTGATTTAAAGCGTCTCGTTAACCTACTGTAATTAATCTTTTCTGCTGAGCTCCTCTTTCAAATACAACTACAAAATCAGAAAAAAAAACGTTGTCTAAATCCTCGTGATGATACTTGGTAATTGGTATTTGGAGTAGAAGTCTAATCTGTTCCTGTTACAGTAGAATAGAGTATATTATGACAACCATAATGCCGATGTGACCCTCTGTAAATAAATAAATTAAAAAGTTACCTGGCTACTTTTTGTTTTTGTTTGTTTTGGTTTGTTTGCATCTACATTAAAAAGGCACAGTCAGCTCCATCTTGTCAAGATAGAAGAGCAGGGAATGTTCAAAGACGATCGACTGTTCTCAATAAAGATTTCATGGACTCTTCTTTTAGTTATGAAAAAAGAAGAAAACTTTAGTTCTCAGCGACGTTGGCTGACCTTCCTTGGGTTTGGAAGAAGCATGAGAACGACTTCTGTCTGTCACTGTAGAGACGTGTTGTTCTACCGACCGTCAAATTCATTAACTGCTGCTTGCATCATGTTTACAGTATATGCAGATGACTCTACAATTTGCTTTGAAATGTGATTTTGCTTTGCAACCAGACGATCTATGTCTGAAACACAGTATTGTTTAAGTAAGTATTAAACGATCAACTGTTCCATCTGCTCGTGCAGACCTACTAATATTAAGACCAGGAACGGTACGACAAAGAGCTGTAGAACATTTTGTTCTTTTTCAGTTCAATCCATTGCCTTTTTGTGCCCCGCTAATGTTTTTGGAAGGTTTCTGGCAAAGAATTTTTCAAAACTCCTTGTGGAATGAAAATTCATTATTTACATAATTTTCCTCTCCTTCCTCCTCCTGCCCCTAAGTCTTCTGCTCCACCTCCTTTTACTCCTTCTGTCTCTAAAATATTCAGCAACCATCACAGGACGTTGAGATTCACTACAGTCTTTTCTGTGGTTTTGATTAAAAAAAAAACAACCTGCAGGGCGGACAGTGACAGGAAATCACACATGTGGAACATGATATTTAAAAAAAATGGAGTAGTTTATTTACTTCGGTCAGTAAATGCTAACAGACCGTTGAAGTGGATTCAGTGTGAGACGGTCAATTGTTTCAAGGAAGTGACAGGAAATCACACATGTGGAACATGATATTTAAAAAAAATGGAGTAGTTTATTTACTTCGGTCAGTAAATGCTAACAGACCGTTGAAGTGGATTCAGTGTGAGACGGTCAATTGTTTCAAGGACTTTGTGAAAATAAAAGATGGAGACAGGATGAGAGAGGTATGATTTTAAAGGGACTCTTGACCTACAGTATACACTAACTGTTAAATGAAACTGTCTGCTGTCCAATATGCCTTTTGGGGGGTGGGATGGGGGGGATGCCATAGTTCATGCGTGAAATTGTGAGAATGATTTTTTTTCTTCCTTTCTCATTTATCTCGAGCTGTCTTTGATTTTTGCTACCTGACAAAAAAAAAAAAAAAAAGAAAAAGTAAAAGAAATCAATCATGTGGAAAGAATAGCACAGAGATGGTAACAATGTGCACTTTTCCATCCTGACTGCGAGCCTTCCCATCATTATTCCATTACAATCAGATAGAACTCACTGTACAGTGCAGACTGAGGCCCAACAGCCACATGGATTCAGATGATATTTCACATCAATCTTGGGCTTCAGAGAGAAATGGTACAGTAGAATCATTTACCATTGTCTGGTCTGTGTCCACAGGACGCAGTGAGACTTGACCCTACAGGCAGTTTGTTAAGGATTATTTTCTGAGTGAAATGACTTCAAAAATACTGTACAATAGTTGTTTGGAGTTTAACTAAAAGAAAGCACTTTTAGATGTTGAGCTTTTGTCCTAAAGCTGTAACATTGATTCATCACATTCATTTAATTTGACTTTTTAATCAATGACTCAATTAAAATACTTGTATTTGAGAACGTGTCGATCCAGTGGTGTGTTGTGTGTTTTTCTACTGTAGTTCCGTGTACAAAGACTTAGAAGAGCAATTTAACGTGAAACCTGAAGACACTTCTTAGCGCTTAATACGCTAATTGGCTCTTCTCGATTTAACGGCACTTACAGAAATTGCACTTCACCAAAATTGTTAAATACATATATATACTTCATGTGAGTTTATTTGTCCATTGAACAATCTAAATCGTACGGTCTTTAGGTGACATTTTGTTTTGTTTGTTTTTTCTGCTCACTTTCTGTTCAGCTGGTTTTGTTAACAATGCGGCAAGTTTCGATTTATTTCAAATACTTCTTAATTATTTACTAATTTACAGTTTGAAAATAAGCCTCATCATTTTTGAGACCTTTTATGATGACATTGAAATGTACACAGCTTGGCCCTCAGATATCCATAGTATCGACTCAGTAAAGATTCATTAAGTAGATAATAAATAAACAAATACTAAATACATTTGATTCTTGTGATTCTTGCCTCTGAGTGACTGTGGTCGCTGTTGTACATACGGTACAACCAGAGTCCACCGGTGTTTACACTCTGGCCCAACGTCTTTATTTATCTTGTTTGGAACAATGAGTCACTGAGCCGTCATTCTGACAACAGCGACGACTTTGAGTCCAAGGTTTTTTGGACTAGATAATGATTTTTTCATCAACTGACACACAAGTATTTCAGTGTGTGTGTAGCTGTACTTTACAAATGCTGTTACTGCTCATAAAATTTAAAGACTACAGGGAAGTGATCCGATCACTGATCCGATCACCAAAACACTTCTGCTTCTTACTTGGCATTATCTTGATCATTATCAACACCCATGACAGAAATGCAGGGATCTACATTAAAAAATAAAAATAGAAAAGCATACTCAATTCATTAATTAATTACCCACAGTCAATTTAAGCATTGTTTCCCAAAGACTGGCTCGCAACCCTCAGGTATATCGCAAAAGATTTTTTTTGGGTCGTCTCGCATCATGTTTCCCAGGAGTTTACTAATAATGTCCACTGACATTACACATTACACATTCACTTTGGTGATGGGTTAAAAGCAGAGGTCACATTTGGTCGTGTGCAGTGATGACAAGTCGTTCACTTTCCTTTTAGATCCATCCAGATAAATTACTGTACCATTTATTCCTGCAGTCACACAATAGGTGGGGAATTAGGCAACGCCTTTAATATTGACTGATAATTATCAACAGCAATAGTAAGCAAAGCATTCAGTTTACTGTTTAAATTGTAAATAGTCATCATATGTAATTTACATTTATCGGGCCTGGGAAAGTGAATTTGTGCTGCCCAGGTACTATTTAACTCCGACAATTTATCGGTAATTGACACTATTTTTATACGATAATTATATGTATTATTTAGATAGCACGTTACTCAGTGACACTGGATACATATACAGACAAACCATACGTCATACAGTAGGAGGGGGGTGGTGATCGCTACTGGCTTGGGTCTGACATCATCAAGCTACGACTGGAGATGTTGAACCCTAATTTTAAAAAAAACATTTTCTTTTAAATTCTTTATCTGACAGTAAATCTGATTGGAAAAAAAAGTTCTTTATGAAAAAAAACCTTGGGAAATATATTTGGTTTTATATATTTATATCTAAAATATTATTAATATAATTATTTAAAGACTGTCAACATTTTAATCAGTTATTGCGATCAATTGACATCAGCAGATTTCCTAGTAGAAGTTAGTCTAGGGACAATCCATCCATCATTCAAAGTAAACACTGCTTTATCATCCGGAAGTGTCTTTAAAAAAAATAAACATTTTGCAAAAGCGAATAAAAAACCTGTTAATACGACTAAAATATTTCGCTACCTGGTTATTTATCATTAAAAGTAAAAAAAAAAAAAAGAGGAAACGCATGCATTTTTTACATATCTTTAGGTTTTGATATGTGATGTCTCAGTCGAAGAGAAAAATATTATTCATGCTGCTATTGCTATTTAGCTGGAAAATGTCGAGCTCTTCTTTCTGCTTTGCATTCATAGTAAACAAAATTAGCATGGACTGTATGCAGTGGCCACAGTTTCAGCACGGTTTTCTAAATTCAAATTCTAAAATGTGCTTTTTTTTCTCCCCTAATCCCTGCCTTTAAAAGACAACACGACCACTGCACCGGCGTCTCAGACAGTGCTGTGTGTTTGCGTGCGTTAGCAGCAGCAGACAGGGGAGGGCAGCAGACATCAGGACTGAACACTCTCAGCTCAGTGTTTGTGTTTCTCGCGTCTCTCCTTCCTGATGCAGTGAAGAGGAGCTCATTAAATCTGGCTCCTCGTCTCCGCCTGATGAATTCTTTATTACAACGCTGCGCTCGCCACACGCTGCTACGGAGATATGATATAAAAGTTCATTTAACGAAGCCTTGATGATCTTACAGAGATTATCCGTTACTG